GACGCGGTGCTGCAGGGGCATGCACACACCGCCCTCTGTGATTCCCCGTGTCACCTCGCGACGGTTCAGCTCGAGTCAAAGTGACTGCACACGGCATGGCCTAAAAGCCCTCCCTTTGCTTTTTGTCACCACTGTCTGGTCTCCAGGCCATTCCTGCGTGCCCTCTAAACCCAGGCGAGAAAGGCAGTGACCTACACTGGTGCAGGCCATCATCGGCATTCATGTTCCGCCCACAACACCTGTAAGGCAAAATGTAGGTGTTTTTATTTTAGCGACATGAACAGAGTCACCCAATGAGCAATCCCACTGGATCAGCTGTTTTTCTATTTCTGATGCAGTGGGCTGTGCAATTTCTACTTCAACTAAAAGGGGTTTTATTTATTTAATGTTTATTTTTGCACAGACAAGCAAAAGTAGCATGTACATTGATACAACACAACGTGGCTTTTATTGCCTGAGCTTATTAGGAGTCCCGAGATGTAGGAGGATTTCTGCAGCCACCTCCTCTTATCATGAAAAGTCAGACAATGAGCCACATTTCAGTCATTTAGGTGAAATGGCAGCAAACCCATCGACCTATTTCTGTTATAATTTTAGAACTAGATCCTTTTAACTCACTGTTCATGCTCCTTCCAGGCTGCCTATTGCAAGTAGAATGTAACTCAGCTACTCATGTACAATTTTAGGTATATGTATGATAACTACTTCTACATCTATAATAATTGCACTCCAACTGACTTAAGAGGAACTACAAGTCTTTGTACTTCTGCTTTGGTTTATTTTTTTTTGGCTAAAACAAAGCAACAACCCACAGGGCTGAACAAAAATGTAAATACAGAATTGTTAGAGCACAAATGAACATATTCAAGCCTGGTACAAAAAGAGGTTTTGCCCTTTGAGATGGAGGATGCTAAAAAAAGGTGATGGGATGCATTAAACCAAAAATGATTTCCCTTAAATCTTAAACCTAAACTATTTGTTTGCCATGATATGTAAATATTTGATATTTCCTTCACATAGCCTATTACAACAGCTGCTACAACTGGAAAGACTGAATACTGACCAGCTGTTGTAATTGGACCAAGTCATAAGTGACAGGAGAGGGGACAGGATGCTGCATCTTAGTCCAAACCCTCGCTCAGAAAGAACTGTTTTCCCCCTTCTTTAAAGATCATCTGGTTTGATGGGGGTTCCCTGTATCTTCTTTGGATCACAGCTCCCATAGAAGACAGTATCGATAAAAGATGATTCTCAGTGCTTTGGGATTTATTAACCCTTTTCAGATTGTAGATCATTAGGCTTTATTATCTTTTTACCTCTAGAAGCTCTACATGAAATTAAAGTGTCACCTGATGGCTGACCAAAAACAAATATGTTGGTATGCTCATAGACTGCTCTGAATGAATATTTTACTCTTTAGCCTTTGCTGCAATTTAGCTTTCCCAATCACAAACCACTTTTTTATATATCCCGGACCAGCACGTGTCATTTCTCCATCCTCCTCCACCTCTCTGTTGTTCCAATTTCCTGTTTCCCTCCTGTCTCCAATTTTCTTGCACATTTTCTGTCCAAATGTCAAGTAGCAGCTGCCTTGCCATTGCAGTCTGTGCTCATAAATCTGGGCTAATTCTCCACCTCTCGTCCATGGTGTATAAATCTTCTCACTCACAAGAGCACTGGTCCTTTTGATGAATGGGCTGGAGAAGGCACTGGATGCCAGGCGAGCTCCAGAGGAGCACACTGTCTTCAAAAACACAGACAGTGAAGATTCAACCGTTCTAAAATTAGCAGCACTTTGTCTGTCTTCCGGAATCTATATGGAGTTCTTTAACCTAAAAAGCTAGAAATGCCCTAAATCAGAAAACAATAAGACATCCTGCAGACACTGAAATGTGGTTGGATAATAATATTAAGATATATATTTTTTCAATATATGGACGCAGTAACTAACATCTGCAGGATTTCATGCAAAAGAAAACAATCCAGCTAGAATACTGTATTGAATAACGACAGGGGAGCCAGTTTCAAGTAATTTGGATACTAAATCATAAGACTTGACGTCATGGTGATCCATGGCCATGGTAGCATTAAGCTTCATCCACCAGTGTTAAAAAAAATGAAGCTAATGTTTTAAGTACAAAAAAATGCAGTTCCTTTAGTGTCCACTTGAGGCTGGCTTCAAAGGGCTCAGAAGTCCAATTAACCCCATATTAAAATAAAAAAATTTACAGCAGATATTCATGTCATTAAAGCAAGGTACACAAATAATTATGCATATATTAGTGTAATTGGGGCGTGTTTTATTTGACTGATAGGTAAGTTTGTCAGGAAGCTAAAGGCCCGACTTAAGTCCAACCCTATGCCTGTTACAAGATTGATCCAAAGTGAGGTGGAGATAGCTTTACAAATACGGCAACCTCCATCCTTTTGTTTCAAAACGTCTCTTCAGAAACCAATGGGTGACGTCACTGAGACTATGTCCATGTTTTATAGTTTATGGGTAGTATACAAACTCCTGAGCAGAGGTTTGCACATCCAAGCAAGATTATGTGCCATAAGCACATGAGTCAGGGCTAGTTTGCTCCTGAGGACTAGTTTGTTGCCACACAAGCACATCTGTGTGTGGGTGTTACACTTAATGAGAGCAAATGAGGATCTGCGCAGCCGCCACCTCACAAACAGTTGTTATTTTGTGCTTCATTAATGCTAGCTGCTTGAGTAGGCACCGTTGATCTCCATGTCAACACACATTACCAAGTCAATCTTGCAGCTCGACTACTCGCTGAGAAACCAATCATAATCGATCCCCTTGTCTCACCGTGGGCAAGACAGTGACAGAAGCACACTGCCGGATTGTCAAGTGCAAGAAAATACTTCTTCAAAAAGACAACTTGATGACACGGTCCCTCGGCTCACCCGGGGTGTTTGTCCATCACTTTGAACTGTAAATGAAAGTCGGACAGATGATATCAGTCATAATGAAAAGCCTGCCATGGCACCTCTCCTTTGCAGCTCTCAGTATCAACTCTACCATATACTTTACACCTGACAGTAAAAATGATGTTGTCAGGTTACAGCTGGCAAACACAGAGAAGTTGTTGACGAGACTGAACAAATAAATGACACAATATTTGAGCTTGCATGCCTAAAAAGGTGCATCATGATTACCATTTATTCAACTATAACATCAGCAGCTGCTTAATGAGCACTAACAAAATACCACATTCAGGGTAACTTGACACATTCACAGCAAATTCTCCCAAGACCTATTATATAAAATTAAACTGTGGATGCAATGTGATACCTCAATAAAAAAAAGCATAACACCATCAGTCTGCCTGGCGTTCCTTGGGAGAAAAATGTTCCAAAGTAATGACAAAGACAAAGAACAATGCGACTCTATGATATAAATGGATTACCTATGCACACCAGCAGCTTCTTAGACCTAGTGGGATCATCAGGAAATCCAAACAAAATGACTCTATCCTTTCTTCTGTTTTTTTTTCTTTTTTTTTTTCATTTCAGCAATTCTGGAGTCACCACAGGCACAAAGGTCCTCCACAGCTCCAGATGGCCAGTCTGTCCTTGCGCGGCTGTGGCATGGAAATTAAGCAAGGATGTCTCTGAAAAAGTGTTGCATTCAAATCTCCAGACAGGCTGGAGGTCTAGGCGGGGCAATGAAAACTAGTCTCACACTCCTCAACAAGCACTTTAAAAAATGTTATTTAGTAAGCCATGGTCCGGAGATGCTGCCTAGTGGTTAAACAAACTCCAGAGGGGCTCATCTGTGTAAAGGTGAACCACTTTTTGTAAATTGTGTTGAGACTCAACAGGGCGTAAGTCATGCTAGAAGCTCTGTGAATCTTTACCTATAGGCTATAGGTAAAGCTAAAGGAGTGCTTATTTGTAAACAACATTTTTAACAACCTAAGATAACCGTGTTAGCATGCATTAATAATGGCTCTGCCCAATATAAGATATACATTCACTTCTCGTCTCTCAAGCAAAAAGGTCAAGGGTTCGATCCTCCTCCTGCAGCAGTTTCCTGTTGACTGTAAATTTGGGTATGAACACGCAGGAAGGTAACATCCCAATGGTAATGAAATATAAATTTGAAAACAAACCTAAAACGAGTGAATAAAAACCAAAACCCAGTCATCAATATCAACAAAGTTGTCCAATTTGCCTAGAAAGTGCTTTTACGTGTCATTTTAGGAATAACAACAAATATTTTATAATAAATATGACATTAGGGAAAGGGAGCATCGCTTACTCTATTTGTGAAAAAATACATTTGTCTGAATCTATGATACTTTTTATTTGGTATGGGTATCAACTAATGTTAGGATCCACTTTCATTTGAAGTGTGCTTCATTTAATATGTTCTCATTTAAGTATTTGCTTTCTTGGTTCTTACTGCTTTGACTAATTATTTCTTCTTTTTTTTGAGTTTTGTTTTTGGGCATTTTGTGCCCTTATTGGAGTGATAGGACAGTGGGTAGAGTTGGAAACCAGGGAGAAAGAGAGTGGGGAATGACATGCGGGAAAGGAGCCACAGATTGGATTTGAACCTGGCTTTGAACCTGCTTGGATGACTACAGCCTCCATACATGTGGTGTGCGCTCTAACCACTGCGCCACCAGCGCCCCATTGGTTAATAATTTACATTATCTCCGAGGTCAACTTTCTGGTTGAGGACTGTTCTCTCATTAACGCACCATGCCTCACCAGGTGTTGGCAATCTTGAATGTACCAAGTTGGACTTTGGGATAGGGGAAGCTACGATGATTTGTCTAATTGTGCATTGTTTTAATCCAGCCTAAAGTAAGATTAACTTCAGTATGATGCATGTTCTGTAGAGTTTATGTACATTTTAAAGACCAAATGGAAGTGTGACATTTGTAATCTTTTTAAGAGCTAAATAGTCTTTGTGTGTTCACCCCTGCAATGTGGGGTTTAGTATTTAAAGCTGTTGTTTAGGCCTCATAATCTTTTTGCCAGTTCTTTTGGATCCCCATTTTGAGTGAGTTTCTTTGTTTTGTAATGCTGTGGTTTATGCACATATTTTCTCTTTAACAAAAAGTAAAGCAACAGTAGAATCTAAGTTATACAGAGGCTTCACTCCAACTCAGATCATATGTGACGAAATAGAAAGTGATTTTCTTGTGATTCACTTGCAATTAACAGCAAGTGTGTTTGCAGACATCACAACATCATTTTGCAGATTCTGAAAAAGTATAATGTCAAGCTTTGTTGTGTTTGGTTTGATCACTTCTGACACATTTGAGGCACTCAGGAAATCTAAACGCTCACTGGCTTTTGTGACTCAGCGTCAAGCAGATTTGTAGCCCAAGTTACAATATTTGATCTGTAGGCTACATTTTGCTTAACCTTTATGCAGATATCTGTTTAAAGAGATTAAAAAAAAAAATGTTGTAAGAATACCATTGATGGGAGCTGTCAATGAGTGGGTAACTTTCCTCCTGTTTATTGTTGTCCACAAAGACTGTTTCTCAAGCAGCTTTTTATCTGCACTGTTAAATCCAATAAAGGCAAAGGCCAAACAAATAATCCTTAAAATATGTTAATATTGTTGCGTTATGGAAAGTTAAGAGGTCATTCATTGTGAGAGGGACATTGGTAAATCTACATAAATACATCAGTCCAAAAGTTTTTCCTAAAATCCCCCCAGACTTTCTGTTGGGGCTTAAAGAAAAGTGAGAGGATCACCTCAAGTCATTAGGAGGCGGTCTCGTACTATTATGCCATTTGACAAAAAGTCAGTTACAAATTCCTACTAAGGCTCCTCTTGCCACATCTTTCCCTCTTTTTCTTCTCTGTCACCCCTGAATGTGACATGCTACCTGCCAATTAGATCCTGCCTCCCACCCAGTAGATAGGAGTGATGTAGCGATGTGGGGTCCTAGAGCAGAGCCCTTGGGGGGGGATGACCGGGGTAAAATATGAGTGTCTTGTCAATCCCAATGAAATGTTGGATTCCCCTACTATACAATGTGTCTTCCCCACCTTCATAACTCACCCAGCACTACCAAATCTTCTCCGACACGTTCAGTAAATCTCCCACAGTTTTTACAGTTTAAACTGTTACTCATCCCTTATCTTGAGCCATCGGCCAACGGCAGGGCCCAGTTCTGAAGTGATGGAACTTTAATCACAACTACCCAACATGCAATTTCTCAGGATTACTCGTTTCCCTTAGTTATATAGATTTTGTAGATGGAGGAGAGAAGACAATTCAGAACTGATATATCAATACTCATGCTTAGTCAGCTGAAACTAACTGCAAAATTTGGAGTGCGTAGTCCACATGCTTTGCACCTCCAATTTCTGAATCCTATGACAAATGACAATTTAGCCTTTAGGGGGCTGCCCCCTATCAATCAATCAATCCATCAATCAATCATTATTTGTAGAGCGGCAATTTATAACAAGTGTTATCTCAAGACACTTTAATAAAGAGCATATGGGATAATATGCAGGGAGAATTTTTTTCCTTTGTTTTCCTTGCGTTCCAGTTGTCCATACTTCCTTGTCTCTGGACGTGGAGGCCAAGTGTGAATGAGGATAGCGGTGGATGTGTGGAGGACACAGTCCGATGGAGGTAGCTGGGCATCAGACAGTGGTTGTGGGGACCCCACAGTCCGATGGTGGTGTCTGGGCACAGTGGTTGTGGGGACGACAAAGTCGGATGGTGGTGACTGGGCATGGGACGTCAGGTGGTAGTAGTGCCAGATCACCTTGCTGAAGGTTGATGGAGCTCCGTCTAGTCCAGAGCCTGGCTTCTGCTGCCGGGAGAACGCCTCCTGGGCTTTTAATTTGGATGTTTTTTCTTGCCACTGTAACTACGCTAAATGTTGTTTGGTGCTCATGATGGATTAATGTTGGGTCTTTGTAGATAATATAACAATGAGTAATGTCTTTTACATGCTCCTTTGTAAAGTGTCTTGGGATAACATTTGTCATGAATTGGTGCTATACAAATACAGATTGATTGATTATTTGGGGTTCTACTGAATTACAGGGATAGCTAAATAATAGATTCAGGCCAGGACTCTCTTTGTTCTTTGTCATTGTTTACAGGCTGACTAGCAGCTTGGCAACAAAGAATGGAGTTGGAATTGAGAGACAACCAATTATGAATTGCAATGTGATATCTCAATTAAAATAAAGCACAACACCATCAGCCGGTGTATGGTAATGTTTGCTTCCGCTGAATTATGATAACCAATTAAAAGATTTTGGCCAGGACTCCCTCTTTCCTGGGCAATGTTTACAGTCTACAAGCATCATGCCATCTGAGAATTTAGTGGGAGATTAGAGATATGTATTTCTAATCTCTACAAACAGATATCAGCATATGATTAGACAGATTAAAAAAAAATAATTGAATGGTAAAAAACAAACCAAAGCCAATCACACCTGACAGTTCAGCCAATGCATACAGCCTATTTTTCTCCAAAACGGACGGTTTTCCTCCAACAAACTAAAGCCCACTCAAACATTATTGGTTAATACTAGCCTATGTGAACCAGAATTCTTCCAATATAAAAAAAAAACGTGTCCCTTGTGTGTGTGTAACTTGGTGTCTGCGATTGAAGAAGGTATCACCAGCAGTAATCTAATTATCCTGACACTAAGTGAAGGGCACAAAGGGATTATGGAGGTTAAGTACTGCATTCCATTAGTGGTCTGGCTCTTGTCACCCCTATCAATTCATTATCTATAATTATCATGATATCGGTGGAGAAAAAAAACACAGATTCTGCTGCAGTGCAAGAACCTGAAACTGTTCTGTACTGTCAGAGCTTTGAGTATAAGATGCTTGAATCCCTGAAATAGCCTCATTTCCACACTCACAACAATTCTCTAACAGGATGCACTGCAGCAAGGGAAGCTGGGGATTAAAGCTGAATTGTCACTGGGGTTTGTATCAGTGCACGATCCGGGTATGAGAGTTGGAGTGAGTGGGAGGTGGAAAAAAATAAATAAATCCAAGTCGCCCTCGGGTGCATGGAGGTCTACTTAGCGCATGAATAATGTAATGAAATAGCTGGTGATTTATTCTACAGTAAACACACCCTTTTGACAGAATGTCCTCAGACGGTGAGTGTTAGTAGGTGGTTGTGTGTTTTGACACCTCCGTACATTACTTGTGTGAGTGTATGTGTGTGTGGATGCAGATGTCTGAGTATATGCCATCAAGTGTATGTTTAAGTGTGAACCCTGTGCAAGGTGCTGGCCAAGCTCATCACAGGTGAGGGCCTTGTGTGGGCTTCTGTCACCTGTCCTCCATCACCCCCCCCCCCCCCTCCTGTCGCTGTTTCATGTCATTCATTAATGGGTGCCCCAGGGCCAACAATAGCTCACTACAGCCTTTTATTACTGTCACTTCACTCTCAGAGCCCGTCAAGGTCAAATCTGCCTCACTGTCGCTCACCTGCCACACTCAGCCTGCTGACATTTGTGTTATGGGGAGCAAGAAGGGAATGTGTGTGTGTCTAAAGAAGAGGAAGAGGGCGAAAGAGAGAAAGAGACAGAATGACGGAGAGGAGAAGGAAGGGAAATAATAAAATGTCAGGAGAGCTGCCATGTGAACAGATGTAGTCTGTTCCCTGTCCTTGATTAAGCGTGATGAGTGGGGGTTCCTATGAGAATACAATATGTAAGTAAAAAATAAAAAGCCAATCTGTTTCCTGGGGTAGATTTTTTTAATCACAGGATCGTCGGTTTTTGGAAGGAAGAGAAGTGTTTTCGTAGGGAGTTGAAAACTTCATTGAATTAAATATTGAATCTGCCACAGTTTCCACTTAGATCAGTCAGTTCTGAAAAAATGTCCAGTCCAATACAATCTGCAATCGACAATGAAATGTACCATATCATTGAGAGATATGGATGTAATTATCATGTTTTGAAACACATTGTTAGTTTTGAAAAGCTTTGAAAAGTTTACTGCTTGCATTTTGTTTTCCTGTGGTGACGGGTAATTTAAGTTCTTCACTCCACTAATTTATGCAGACCTGCCAACCCCCATGTTTTTCCTGTTTTCGTATTTCAAGGTCATCTCCTGGCCAAATCCTGTTTTGTTATTTCTCTCGGGGAAACTCCTTTGATTTCCACGGCTTTACAACCTTATTGGAAGATAGCAATGAGACTTATTTTTGTGAAGTTTTAGATCTTTATTTTACTCAGGTTGAGATTCTATGCAGTACATTATTTGATTTAATGGTCACATATTATGTAAAATCCATTCCACCATGATTTTTTAACAATAATGTGTCCCTAGTCTGTCTGCAGTTTTTCTGAAGTTACCAAAGTTGCCATGATTGTCTATGAATCGATACACACTTACAATCCAAAGTAACATCACATTTAACCCCTCTGCCTGTGTGACCTGGAAACACACAGTGTGACTAAAGGGTTTTGCGCAAGTCTCGACTCTGAAATGACTCTCTCCAATTACTGAAATGAACTCTCATTCATGGAAAAACAAGTGTTGTTACACAAAGATAAAGAGATAAATAAGTGGAGATCCCAAGAAAACAGATGAAGTGTACTTGTTATCCCATGGCAAACAGACTGAAATGAAATATATAAATGCATTTCCTGTAAGGGCTTCCGTAAGATATGGAAACTGTGGCTTCATTCAGTCTCGTTTTTGTAATAATGATCATGTGTTTTCTGCGTAATAGTGACGGATTGTTGTTAGAAATCTGCAAATAATCATTGAAGGAACACACTAAAAAGCTATTTCTGTTTCAATTTCAGACATCTGCTGTATCCTTATCTTTTATTTTTCTGTAAGAAACTTGGATGATTATTGCTGCTGTAATTAAATCAGAGCTTTTTCATTTGTGCTGCATTGCTCATTAGCCTTGCTAACCACCTTCTCTATCTTAAAGGCCCCGTGACAAGTCGCCCTAGAATGAGCGCCTCTGTTTAATTTCATGCTCAGAAGTGGAATGAAACTGTGTCTCTGGTGTTCTGATTATTTTGAGTTCGTGTGAACAGAGAACTGTGTTGATAGTGACGTTTGAGGTTGTCACGCTCTTCTTTTCTTTTGAAGGGCCAGTTTCTTCCCCGAATTGCGGTTCAGGCTGACTTCCTTCTTTGTCTCGTGAATGTGGGAGATGATGGAGCTGACTGGAGGAAGGCCTCAGGGGGGAACAGTATGACATCAAACATTACATATAAAAGTTACTCAAGCTCCTCGTATGGGACTTCGGCAAATATTTCATTTGGCAAGAACTTTGGACTTAACTGGAGATAGTAGGAGACTTGCACAACGCTGAGGACAGACTGACAGTCAATTATCAGCTGTTTTTTTCCTCCACAGAGTTTCTTTTGCACATACATTCTCCATTCCATCTCTGGACTTGAAAAGAACACCATTTTTCCAGACAGTGATTTCCTCCAATATCTTGTTTCTAGGTGTCTGAGTGTGTGTTTTTTAACAGGCGGACCCATGGGCTTACAGTTTTGCAAGCCTTGCAGCTGGTGCCTACAAAGTAAGGAGGATTGCAGAGCTGCCGGCGGCTGCTCGTGTGTGCGGAGCGACGACTGGAGATACTGCTCTGACCGCTGCTGTGACATCTGCTGCCAGATGTGTGTGAACGTATGCTTTGGCGTGTGTTCAGGAAACTGCAGCTACACCTTCTGCACCCTCTGCCTCAGCCTGGCACAGAACTGTGCCTCTCTTATTAACACCCAACAAACTGAAACATCGGAAGCACAACGTGAGTTATTATTATTATTATTCACAATGCAACCATTATACGACTACTTGTGTTTACTTGAGGAAACCTACATTTAATCTGACTGTTTTTTTTCTTATCTGTTTAAGATACTATAATGGCTCCAGAGCTGCATGCAAAGTGAACATGTGACCAACCCCAAAAGACGCAATAGATTTAAAGCCAGAAGCTAAACCAGGTAAATTAAACGTGAGTAAATTTAAAGTATTTGTTTTGGTAGCTCAAGTTTTGACATATGCTGTGGGATTTTAATGCCACAGGGTCTTTAGCTTCATCAAAGAGGAGCTTAATGCCATTTTGAGCTGCACTGTAACTAAACAAGAAGGTTTTTTTTTTTAATTCAAGCTATTTAATCCACATTGACCTCTAAAATTCCTGCCAAGCATGCTATGGAATAGATCCAGCTTTGTATTGTTCACTTCCAAGTGCATTTGAGTGATAAAATAAGTGTGCCTCACTGCTCCCATGACATGTCGACTATACCAGATTTCTCAATATATTTGAACGATATACCACCATCTTTATTACATGGGTACAAAAAAACAAATAAAGTGTATGTATGTCCTCATAGGGTTATCCTGAGCTGACTCATGAGTGGTAAATACACTTTTCAGAGAAGTGTTATCCTTTCTGTCATACTGCCAAATGTAGTTAGTTTTGATCTGAGGTCATGCTTGTTTCTGGGGATTTTTTTTTTGCATACACTTTGCAGACTAACAGAACAAAATCACAGTTTAATTGCTGTAATTGCTGTACATAGAAAATGTAAATAAAAGCCACATGGTAATGTAAATACTGTTGTCTAAAACTCAGCAGTGGTGAAAGGCATTAATGGTAACTGTACAGAAAGGATCAATCTTTTAAATAGTTTGTATTTGTAGGTTATATAGGGGCATCTGTAATACTTTCATAACAGGCCTCTTATAACAGTGGGTTTAAACACTTCACTGATTGATATTGTATAACTGTAAAGGCTAAAAATGATGCATAATAAGGGGCGTAGCAGCTTTGAGTCACGGGTGGCTGACGTTGCATCTCTCCATCTTGTCAAAAAGGGAAAGCTTTCCGGGGCCTAGTCACCTGGCAGGGGCCCATGAATTTGAATCAACATAGACCAAATTTAATTTTACACTTAAATACTCACCATTACCTCTTAAAGCAACAAAAACACACATTTAATTTGTTGTTGCTTCAATAAAATGTGGCTGTTTCAACATGTAAACCCCCTCTTCTTAAAATGATATGAGCCGTTGTTGTTGTTGTTGTTGCTGTTGCTCTAATGTTAATGACGTAAGCGAGCCCAGTTTACTTAACTGTTATGCTAGTTATGTCACAAACTGCAGCCATTCCAGGACCTGCACAGAGTTAAGATGCAGAAGAAAAGAAAGAAGTATATGTTTAAAGTGAATTTAGGTTCTAGTAAGCTGCTTGAACAAAGGACCTTCACAGTTCTCGTTGTTGTTGTTGGGTTTTTTTTTCCCGAGGTGATGGTAAAAAAAAAATAATTAGAAAGCTGGAGAAGCTCTTGTACCAGTAAAACGAAGAGAAGACAGAGAGTAATATTGAAAGAGGAAGAAAAATTGTCCAGAATTCAACTATTGTGTTGTACGATTGCAGGACTGAGTAGAAAAGTATATAACATAGAGGGCCAATCACACTGTATGAGATGTTTGATTAGCTGGGATGAGATACAAGGACAAGGGCCATGAGTGAAGGCCTGGAAATACAGTCAGACAGAAGGTACTGGGGAATAACTGGTCTTTCTCAGTCGATCATTTTTGATGCCAAAAACACCTGAAGGGTTGTGATCAGGGCTGGCTCTAGATGTTTTGGCGCCCATAGGCAAGATTACGATTTGAAGGCACACTCAAGATCAGCACAGACGATCATATGAGGAAACGTATAATGTCAATCATCATTCTTCACGTTACTTCAGGGTCTTACTTCTTACCCTCACTTCTGGTTTGGAACAGTCTGAAGACACAGAGTTGTTTTTTTTCTCTCCTCTTCTCCTGCTGTTGTGGAGTGCGTAGTGAGTGAGTTGGAAAGCGAGCAAGAGAGAGAGACAGAAAGAGAGAGGCTGAATCGAGCAGAGCTTAGGGGAAGGAGTGGGAAAGTTGACAATCCAGTAGTTGGTTTATATTCACAATATCCAGGGCTCACACCGACACCCCCTGGAGCCTGGCGCCCTAAGCGACCACCTGTATTGCCCATGCCTAGAGTCGACCCTGGTTGTGGTTAATTCAAACTTCTTGTGTCATTTGAGCAATTGTGCTGGCATGCCTTCTTCCACATTATTTTCTGTTGCCATTAGAATAGAAGAATAGAAGTTTGCCCAAGTGATGGTCAGGGAGAAGTTTGCATTTATAGAGAAGATGTCAGAAGTAAACAGAAATAACATTGTTGTCTGACATAAAGTGCAAAAAGAAGTGGGTGGAGAGCAGTGGTGCAGACAGCCAAGGTGTGACCTTCTGTATGTATGGGGGAACAGTACATCTCTACGTAGCCCCTGAAGTCCACAAAATATTGATATTGTTTGCATGAGGTATTGACTTTTGCTTACAACAATAACAGTAACTTCCGTTAACGGCATTTAATCTGTAAACCGCAACAGAAATATATGTAAACAACAGCTCCAACCTTTATCTACAGCTAATGTAAAGTTACAACTGTGGCATCGAGTGGTGAAATCTTCAACTAAAACACAACTGTACTCTGGAATTATTTCTGCTTATGGCAAAATACAGTTGGAGTAAAAAATATAAAGTCATCATTTGTATTTAATGAATGTATAAAAAACGTTTTTTCCCTGAAAAGCTAATGTTTTTATAAGTACAAACGGTCGGTGGGGGGGCTAAGATGTGCATATGTGGATAATTAAGGGCATGGTTAAGTTGACTGATGGAAGCATGTAAAGTAGAAATCACAGCATTCAGGCAGTGCATGTAAAACAAGACGTACATTTAATGATTAATGTAACAGTAAATCAAACACTGCGGTTTACATAACATGCACTTACAGTGGTAGTAAAAACAAAGGTGCAATAAAGAAGATTGAGCTTAGTGAGGAAATGTTAGATTTATCATGGTAGGACGGTTGGATTGAAAAACACAGATCTGATATGAAGGGATATGAATGCTGATCATATAGACAGGAAATTGTAGTTGTGGAATTTAGAATGAAATGTTTTAATATATGTTAAGATTATTTGATTGTTCGGTTTTGCTTAGAAATGTGAATATAAGTGGTTTCATGGAGCATATTTGCTTTCTGATTCATGCACATACTATTATTGCTCTAGTTTTTTGGTGATAGTCGTATAATGTGAGTGATAAGACTATAGGAATTAGCACCCCCTATAGGCATGGGGTGATAGTGCAGTTAAAGTGATGGTCAGGGAAACGTTTGCATTAATAGTTAACATATATTCACATTTCTAAAGATAAGAAAAAGCAAACATGCTCCATAAAACAATTTATTTTAACATTTCTAAAGAAAAACAAACAATGGAATAATCTTAGTTAGCACCCTCTTGAGGCATGGGGTCATAGTGCAGTTGGACACTCTGTGTTTTTAACTGTTTTGCTTGTTTAATGGGAACGATTATTCATCAACTCAGTTCAATAACGGGAACACTAACTTCAACTTCATTAATTACTATTAATGATTCATTTTCTTGATTAGAATCTCTGCCTTACAATAGGATGCATTCAGTACTATGCACAGCTTCTCTAGTATCATATTGCCATGTTGCATCAACCAAATAATGGATGCTTTCCACTTATAAATAGCGGATTTAAACTTGCAAGCAATAAACAGTCAACTGTGTGAAATTCAATAGAGCTAGTTCGACCTACAGCATAACCTTCAGATAAGAGCATAGTCACAGGAATAGTGATATCATCAAATTGATTGGCAAGTGCATCTTGAAAAGTTTGACTTTGACTTTTCTTTCCACAGCAGCTGAGGAGCCCGAGCGAGCTTTGGACCGCTGTCTAATGAGGACTGGGTGGAGGAGCAAAGAGACTTTGACAACAAGTGCAAGAAAGAGCTCTCTGCAGAGGGAAACGTGGCTTTAAAGTTCATGAAATCTTTTGTGTATAAAAAAATAATAAATAGCAGGGGATTGTAGTCAAAGATTATGTATAAACACTATATAAAGGTCTGCCAGATGTGTTACACATCGTATTTGTGTGTTTTCTATTTTCAGAACAATGGTCCTTACAATAAGCTCGAGCTTATCGCTGCTATCAGGGCTGAACAAAAGCTCCCCTAACAAACAAGCTTTTTCTCTCCGGGGTGTCACACCCATATGACGCCACAGACTGTACCCTACTTAACACTCGTGTCAACACTTTTGCAGCCCAGTGCTGCACCTCATTTCAGCTGGATGGATTTATTTCGAGTGTGTCCGAGTGTTTGCTTACAAAAAAAAAGGGACAGCTACTTCATCCATTTCTCGCGGAGACAAACAGGATTCCCTGACAACAAGCAACAAGCGAGCCGGAGTGTTGTATTTTTCAAATCTGGGAGATTAAACTGAAGTGTGGAAAATGGCCTCCTCCTTGCACACAAGCAGTACTTCAAAAGACTCTCATTCGATGTGTGCAAGATTGTTTTGCACTTTGAGGCAAACTAAAAATGTAATTTGGTGGCACAAAGTGTGTGATCTGATATTTCTTTGTGAGATAAGGCTGCCTGAGGACACAAGGTGCTATTTGCTTTCTTGGAATTGGACCAGTTTTTTTATTAACCTCTATGAAATCGCTAGTTTATGTAAATGTTTATGAAAGAAATTATCTGTGACCCGGCCTGAAAATAAGATTAGACGAAGGGTCTTGCGAGCATAAAAGGTCTTACACAACAAAGTCTGATGAGCTACATCGCGTCCCCATCTGTCCCCATCTCTGCTCTTGTTTTCTTCCTCTCGGTCCCTGTGGACTCTGCACCGCATTCAGTCAAACTCTAGCGTGTATCCCCCTCAAACCCAGAGGATATGTGGCCTAGTTTGCTCCTTGAACTGACCTTATCCTCCTGAAAAGTTTGTTTTATAATATCCGCAGTGAAACTATTTGTGCATACTTCACTCGCCTTGATCGATTGTCTCCGAGTGGGCTTTCATTTTGTGTTTTTTCCCCTTATTTGCTGTAAATCTCCTGATAGAAGGGAATTGAAATTGTGATGTCTTAATCTAATATGAGAAGTCTTGAAGGGGCTCTGATGTAAACTGAAATATTGCTCCCAAATGTTGCTTTGAGATCAATAAAGATTAATTGCTTAAGGAAAGCTGCAATATTTTGCCCCAGAGAAGAGTGAACGTATCATATTATGTGTTTATCTTTTCTTTTCTTTTTTTGTCAACACAGGATTGAGTCGTCTTTTTTGCAAATCAATGACGCCGTATCTTTAAACCCTCGTCTCATGAGGCTTGTACTGAGAGATGGCTTCATTTACAACCTGCACAATGTTAGCACACAGCAAGGTAACAGTAATAGAAAGTAAGGGCGAGGCCCCGAATGTCTGAAGTTCTACCTCAAAAATGGGAAGACGAACAAAATTTTAAGATCTTGGGAGGGATTTTTTTTTTCCTGCACCTTTGCCGTCTTTCATCTCCTTCCCTCAGTCTTATCTCTTTGTGGCTGAGAGCATTTCTCTCACCTCGCTTGCTGTCTGTGTTCTCTTTTCATGAATTGCGTTGCTTTTTACTGGATGTCTTCTGGTTAGGTGTTGAGAAAAAGGCATCGTGTGCTGCTGTCAGTCAACTAGATTACAGCTCTGGAGGATCCTTATTGCTCACCCTCCAAAAATAAGTAGATGGCTCCTAACTTCGCCGGCCAGAACATGTCTGTATTCTCCCCCACCCTCCCTGTTTTGGGAAGTTGTGTGACAAAAAAAAAAAACTCAACATGACAGACGGAATTGGAAGACTAAATCTGAATTTGATTCAACAAAGCTGCTATCAACAAACCTTTGCACACTTTGACACCCTGTGGAGGGTGACACAGTGTGAGGGTGCATAGATCACCAGATCTAAACAGCAGAAGATAACCACACAGACACGTTTGTATTTCAACCGTCACTCCCTTTTCTTTCTCTTTGTTTTGCGGCTATGTTTGCTCGTTGTATTTTCTTCAACAACACTTCTCTGTTCACCTGTCAACACTCCCACTGAACTGTCAGCTTAGTCAGATGTGGCTTCTGAGGTGTACAGTGTCCCCCCCCCCCCCCCCCCCGGAAGAGAAACATAACGAGCCATCCTAGAGCTAAGAGATGCTCTGAGATCCCCCCCCCACTCTGCAGTCTCTGTGGACACAAAAACTCATGCATTGAAAGATAGCTTATTGCTCCCCGAATCAAACCTTTTGGCCAACATAATCTCAGCCAACCCAAAAAAAAAGACCCAGCATGAATCCCCTTCCCCCTTCACTTTTCAACTAGTTTGGATATTTTAAAAGTCTGGTCTTGCAACTCTGTGTACTAGAAATTCTTTGGAAGCAAAGCCTCACCTGCCTGGTACACTCTATCTATTATGATATGAAGCAAGTGGTGGCTTTAAAAGTTAAAAAAGGGCAATGGTGTGTGTCCAATCTCAGATGTGAAAGAGAGTGAGGCTGATTCAGTGCACGGTCCATCTCTTCTTTTTTTTTTTTTCTTTTTTTCTTTTTACACCCTCCTGCTGCGAGTCAGGTTTTGAGATTCTGCAGACAGGCGAGGGACGGCGAGGAGGGCTGCTGCTCAGGGGGAGACGGAGGAATGGGTGGGCAATTATTATTTTTTTGTCGAAATTGGATTTTATTTTTGTCCACTCCGAGGCCTCCGTCTTATCCTGCAACCCAGTCCTCCCACTCAATTTCCATCTCACCGTGCGAAAATTGGGAGTGACATGAAGATGTGAGCTGGAGATAGAGAGGACAGTGAGAGATGGTTAGAAAGAAAAAAAAAAAAAAGAGGGAGAGGCACAAGATGCAGACGGCGAGATATATGGGAGAGAGTGAGATGGAGGGCGGACAAGGTGGCAGCACACAGATTTTTGGCGTTTCCAGAGCACGGCAGCAAATGTCTTGAGCAGATTTCTTGTGATAGTTTTTTTACTCATGTGGAGAAAAAAATGATGTAGCTATCAGGCTAGTAAAAATGTTATCCTAAATAGTTTCCTTCCAGCATCAGAAAAGATTGCCACTGCAAAGTGTTGCATTAGACACCGGCGGTTTATTTTTACATCTCACTTCCTTGTGAGAAAAAATATTACAATCTGTTTAAAAGTCATGTATCTGTTTTTTTTTCCTTTGGCCGCTTAGTATTCCAAACGTGACTGCAATGAAACAAAGCCCAGCACTCCCCTCACTCTCCTCTCAGGTGGAAAGACAGAGACGCTCATACATACATATAAATAGTGACAGAGACATTGCTCATCGCGCATGCATTACACGTCGTGATTAGATAACTGTGTGGTCAAAAAAAAATATCTCTACATCAAATGCATTCCAAATCCTCTTATTTTTTGTGGAGTCAATGACGGAGAGCGCTTAACAGATTCACTGGCATGCATAAAATGAAAGAGGGGGAATCATTAGCTAAAAGTAAAGAAAGAAATCAATGAATAGAAAAAGGGGCCTGGTGATGAGACGGTTTGCGTTCAGTTGGTTTGCATTCATAATGTATAGGGTGACAGCCCATTAGATCGCGTTAAAGGGAAATCAGATTCTGGCCTCCCTCCAAAGCCATTAGCCTGTGGGGTCAGCCTGAAGACAAACTGGTAATTGACCAATAGATTCAGGTAAATTGCAGGTAAATTGTTGGACTCTAGAAGGAACAATTATTTTGTTAATTGCATTTTTAACAGTGGGTGAAGGGATTTTGGATTACAGGTGTCTAATAGTAATGACTGCAAGAGGCTCAGATACCAGCCAGCCATATTACTCCCAGAACTGTGAACACATCCTCTCACCTGTAATGTGGTCATCTCTGTTATGCAAGAGTGTTAAAGCTCTGCTAGTTGCCTTTTAAAGACTTGAAAATGTATGATACGACCAATACACGGTATGATGGGATACGATCTGACACAGCCGATGCGATGTGATTCAAAACCATCTGATGCAATACAATACCGAACAATTATGCAATGTGATTTGATACATTTCGATATAATTTGATATGATACAATATGACCAGACCAGACCAGACCAGGTTGCAGATAACAGTACCGTACCCTACCCATAGACTGTAACTATTAGTGGACGAAGCCTAAGTGACGTCACCCATCTGTTACTGCAGAGGGCTCTGGAGGCTCATCAGCGGCAGCCGCCATGCTGGAAATCTCAGCCTTTAACTGTCAGTCAACCTACTGTAACAACAGGCTTTGAGCTGGAGCTGAGGTGAGTTTTAAGCCTCTTGAAGCCCACCTGTCAATCAGGTCAGCGACACACATAAGATTTTGCACTTCTACATTGGCTTCATTTTTCAACACCGCCGCTTGTATGAATTGTACTAGACCCTATCAAACGGACATGACCAGACAAGACCAGTCACTCGTGTTTCCTGTATAGAAACTGCTTGTGGACTAGAACTCTTCATACATTAGCTGCCTCTATAGTAGCACTAATCGATCTGACTTGACTAGATCATACTTTTATTTTTTTAAACACAAACAAAATTCAACATACACTACAACGGTCTATTAAGCCATAGCATATGATACACCTTATTGCCCCCTTTTGGAAATCTTGTCCTGAACTTGAACTCTGCATCCATGTATCCACCCCCACAGATTCACTAATAGATAGCAACCATCAACATGTAAATAGAGAAGCACAAACCAATGACAATGTCCATATCAAACATGCTCCACATTATTCAAACGATGGGTGAAAAAGATAACTATGAAGCTATTGCACAACTTCTACAGCCTCAAGAAACAGTATTCAACATTTTGACGTGAATTAAAATGCAGAGGTATGAGTTTGTGAGATGGAGAACGGGTTATAAGTTCTGCATGACTGAAGGGTCAGAGTTTGTTCTGTAAAGTGAAGTCCACTGAATGCTAACCAAACCTCAGGAGCCGGGCTGTCAGTCAGACTAATGGACACTAACAGAGGTAAGGTCAATCCTTTTTTGGAGGTATGTTTTTTTTGTGCGAAGAGTCCTGTTTGTGCACAATCCACAGTCCTGTCCGTTAC